TTAAATATGAATATAAAAATTTAAATACATACTTAAGCAAAAAAAATTAATATAGTTTTAAGGAATTTAAAAATAATTTATTTATTAATTTTGGGATTTTGGGTCATTGGGAAAGCAAAAGTACCTAATTTCCCCCTTTGTTGATTACATGTTGGCATGAAATTAGGATCAAAATGACCAAAAGTTGAAGGGATTTGTGATGTGGGGAATGGTATGCATTGGAATTTGGATACATGTCTTGTATTCTTGTGTATATGTACTTTTATAATTCATTTTATAATTTATACGATTATTAAATCAAGGTTTTAAATGACGTGAGATATTTATTTAGCAACATAGTCAACTCTCAAGTTTTATGAACCCTAACGGTTTTATGGCATGGTTTAAGGGGTCGTTTACCAAACGATTATCCGGGTGAGCGTTTATCAAGTCACGTTACCTCACCGGATGAATATGGTAAGGACCAAGAATCTTCTCCGGTAAGAGCAAGACAATGACCAAGAGCCTTACCCGGTAAGTGTGGGCGATAACTCTTACCATGGTAAGCGTTTACCGGGTAAATTGTTGCATACGATGTCGTTTTTGTGGACTAAGATCTTACCCAGTAAGTAAATAATAGTGTTAAATTTTACCGGTAAGCACTTACCGGGTAAGTGTTTGGTAAACGGCCCTTAAGTCGATAGAAATGTGCATACATATATATACATAGAGGGAGAAGGATCAAACGAGAACATAGTCAAACTAAGATAACAAGAAAACGACCAAATCACATGTGATTTTACATGCAATTACGGAACACGGTCAATGCAAGGGTGAGCGGGCGACCTGTGAAACACATGTCATTTTACATATAATGTTAGTGTAAAATCACATGTGATTAGGTCGTTTTCGTAAAACGAGGGTGTCTTCAATTGAATCTCCATCATATTATATTATATATACACATATATGTTTGTACTGATACTCAATGCTATTGAACGTTTTTTAAATCCATAAAAAATTATTAATGTATAAAGTTTGTTGAAAGTATCATAAAAAAATAAAATAAAAAGTCGTCATAAACAACAATTACGAGGCTTAACAAGACGTGAGACACGAGCCTTGTCGACATGACACGACTTTTAGAACAAAACTTGAACACCGTCTAATTATATATTAGATGTTTAAGAGGATTTTTTGGAATGATAAAAATCTCTTGACTACAAAAACTTTGGAATCACCAAATGATCTTTGGACCTAGCGGTATGTGAGTCTTTGACCTCCTAGGATGTCAGAGGTTCAAATCTCATCAAAGGTGATAAATGTGTGTGAATTTATTTGTTTTATTTGTCGTATATAAATGTTATATACTTCAAAAAAAACTTTGGAATATGTCATATGATAATTACAAAAATTATGACTTCGAAATTCAGATCTTGAATGCCTAGTGAAACATTTATTCATTATTATTATTATTTTGTCAGTCATTTCATATTTTAGATATGAAATCATCAGTAAAAATCGTTAATAACTGATGAAGTTATAACTGGGTGAAGATAATTTGATGTAAAATAAGTTGTTGATGTATATATTTTCCGTCTCTATCACCCTTCGACCTTATGTTCAGAGAAAACTTAGGACACAGAGCAGATGATGAGAACACGTCCAAAGGATTGAGCATGCATTGGTTAATCGTAGTGAGTTGGTTATGCATCCTGCATGACTTATATGCAACTAACGTTGGAACCGGACAATTTGTAGCATGCGACCTAATATCGCATTTCCACACTGCATGATTGGTCTGGCGAACAGACAAAGTCCGGCATTTCCGCACCATCTAAATACACGACTGTTTGAAAGCATAATTAAAACCTCAAAGTGGCATTCAGAAGTTCAAGTTAATCATTTCGGAGCTAAAAATTTAGTATAGGGACTCTGATCATCACGACGCATTTTATTGTGAAATAATATGATTTGAGTTGAAAATTTATAATTTCAAGTATGTAGTTTAGCAATTTGATAAAATGATTTTCTATTAGAAATTATCATTCACATTAGAAAATAAGTTTGATAATAAATGGTTGTGTTTTATAAAGGGCAAATTGCATGAAAATGTAACGTACTTTAACTTGATTCTTATTTTGAGTAACGTACTTTCAAAACTTTCATTTTGGTACCTAAGATGTAAAGTTTTAAACATTTAAGTACCTAGGTAACCGGTTATCATGTTGATGTAGCGAGTGGTGTGATCTCCAATCAATATTATTTGCTGACGTGGTTAGTGACATGGATTTTTTTGTAATCTAAAATTAATCTTTTTTAATCTAAAATTAGTTTTCAACCGGTTACTTAAATGTTTAAAACTTTACATCTTAAGTACCAAAATGGAAATTTTGAAAGTACGTTACCCAAAGTAGGAATCAAATTAGAGTACGTTACTTTTTGTTGCTTGTGTTAAAATATCATCTTTGTTATCTGTATCACGGGTTGCTACTGCTTGATATTTTCATTGACGTAGAGAATTGTTTGGCACACGTCTCGAATTAACGCTTGACTATAGTTATACCGCTCGTTTTCCGAGAATATATGTTAGCATCACACTCTACAAGAAGGCTTCCAATTTCTTGTTTGACTTTATTATATTCTCAGTGTATGAGCAAATTTGTAACGATATCGTATATTTTTTTGCACATAACGTAGAAAACAGTAAACATAAAGTCTATATGGTTCCATTTGTTGCTAATCAAAATTTATGAAATTAGAAAGTGTAAATTATTATAAATTATATTTTCATGCACTTGCACCAACAAGATGACACTGATAAACAGTTGTACCTAAAAAGTCAAAATAACACCCTTCTACGACACAATTTGTTGACGTTTGTTGATGAGCCTTTCTCAACGAGCATCTTGGCAAGAAATACCGACACTTAAACCTAAATAATGGGTAGGAAAAAAGTAAGAACTTTTGTGGTGCGATACTGGTATTTGAAGTTAGTTTATACATGTGACGTAGTTAAAAAATACTGAGATACCATTATAATCTTTGAATCTTAAATATTCATTTAAGATGATTAAATTTAAACCTGCCAATCAGTAGAAGAATCGTTTTTGAAACCAGAAATCTCGTACATACCGAAAATAACCTTTAAAATCCTATAGTGGTTGTATTATGGTGCAAGGCATGTCTTAGATGATAAGGTAAACGCTGTAGCGGTTGTGTAAGGTGAGACGTGTGCCATGCCGTCTTGAGGCGTATTCCTTGATGGATCTGGGATATGGTTTCTGGGCGTGGTCTAGACCTCCTAGGGGACAAGCGCTTGGTGATTTAAAGGTGTTGAACTATATGCTTGCTCCCGTTGTTCTTAGGCCTAATACTTAGGATTGTCGGGTATGGTTGCTTAAAAAAGATGAGATATTTTCGACGTCAACTTTAATATGTTTGATTGATGACAAGTTTTTGCAGGTCCTTGTGAACGTCACTCCTACAGTTTGGAGCTCTTGTGTGCCTCGAATGGTTTGTGTCTTCATCGATAGGGGTGGCTTCCAGTTAGGTCGCTTCTTCACAACAAGGGGATTGATCTCCATACTATCCTGTGTCCTTGGTGCAGGAATGTTGAGGAAACCATTGAGCATTGCCTTTTAAAATGTCATTCTAGCTTTTCCTTGTGAGTAGATCTGTTCAAATGGTGGGGGTGGTCTTTGTCCCGGTCTGTTACTTTGAGCGGACTGCTAGATAACTCATACTCCCTCCCATTTCATGCTCGAGACGTCACCTTTGGAAAGCGGTTTCAGGGACATCTTTCTACTCAATCTGGAACTATCGGAACAAATATATTTTCTCGAATGACCCGTTTGAAGCTGTTCTGCTTGTTTATCATTTTTTTGCTCTTCAACACATCTAGTTCCATTGGATCTCCAAGCGGGCCGAAGTTTTGTCTGTTGTGAGCGAGGTGGTGTGGGGGCTTGGTTTTCATGTATAGTTTGAGTTTCTTTTATTAGCCTCTTGGATTCAGTTTATTCGTTGGTGTTATTCGGGTACTTTTCCCCTTTTTTGTTTCTTGTTCTTATTATATCAGGTTTAATAAATATTACAAAATATAAGAGCATGTGCAAACAACTATGTTATCTTTTTCTTAAATATAATATCAAAAGTCAAAATCTCAAACAAAAATTACATCCAACTCCAGCAACTATTTTATTTTAGCAATTTCAGCATTAACTATATTATTAAAATATTCAATACATTTAACAAAATATTATTTCTCTATCCTATACATTTATTTTCGGTACCTCTTATTCTCAGAAAAAAAATTAAAATATTATTTCTCTCTCCTATATAAATTTAAAGATTTTTATATTATTTTTCCTATTATACAATATAACATAACTATTACAATACAAATCTCTTCTAAATTACAAAAAAATTATTATACCATAACTTAAGAATGGTGATTTGCCTCGATCCGGGGGAAATCCGGCTCACCCGACCTGAACAGGGACATGGATTCTCCGCTAAAACGAGTCTCAGGGCCGGGCCCAGGGATCCCCAGTAGACTCAAGCCGGGGCCGGGGTCAGGGGCTGTTACTCAAATCGTGGTTGGGGACAGGGATCCCCGGTACACTCAAACTAAACGGATATTATTCATAAAGTTTGACTGGAGACGGGATATTAATCCCCGTACTCATCGGGAACCGGAGCCAGGGGATGTTATTAAAAGCCTAGGCTAAAGCCAGAAATTACAAAACACACCACATCCCCGACCTGTTACCATGCCTACCATAATTGTTGATAGAGATTTGCATTGAAAATAATTAAGAATCAATTCGATCACCGGTGGAAGCAATTTCCTTAACATGGGATATAACCGCAATCCTTAGCCTTTAAGTTATTAGAGGAATTTTTTCATTAAAAAATTATATGAAAATAATAAATATTATATATTTGTATTAAATAAAATTAATTTATGAGTATGTTATTTGTATCATATTCTAAAGTTTCAAATTAACCCCCCTATCTCCACCTCATCTCTCGAATCGGAAGAAATCCAGCTCGTCATCACCGCCTTTCCCCTTCCCATCGCATCTATTACCGGTGGCGATGCACGAAACGGAGATTCACGATTTGTCCGACGACGCCGATTACGCCGCCGCATCTAAACAAGTAAGCAACACTTGACCTACTGTATTATCCGCTTATCGAAAAATGAAATCAGGAGTAAAGTATCGTTTTGTATGTGAACTCGTGCGATCGGTAGTTATCTGTTTTGGTTTGAGGCATTTGTGGATCGATTGTGATGCGAATTGAATGAAGTTTGAGTGTTTGTGCTGTGAAGTACTTGATTTCGTGTAATTTAGGGTCACAGTGAGCATGTTTATTAGCGTTAGAAGTTGAGTCGAGTTTGTGAGCTATTCGGTTCGGTAATGATTGCGGATCTTTTCATTGATCACTTAAGTAGCATGATCTGTTTCTGTTTTAAGTTTATGGTGACCAATTGGGAAGCTATTGATGTGTACTCATATTTATGTGAATTCCTTAGGGTTTAGGCAGCTTCTGAACTACGTGCAGTAGGTTTTAACTACTGCAGACAATTGGATCTATTTGTAAGCTGTTGAGACTTGATGTGTTTAGTCTTGGTCCAGCATGACTGTTGGTATAATATTAGTTGAACAAGTCAATAAGTACACAACTTACTTCATATTGGTTGAAAGTGATCGTTTCTTAGTTCATCATTTTGAGTAGGTTAAAGGAGGAACCCTGCAACGGATTTTTGTCTATGTTTATAGTTGACTTGATAAACATATGCTTTGGTTTAGTGAAGAATGCTGGATTCTTATGTTAATAGATGACTTAGTATGAAGTTTTTTGATGTGAAAATTTATAATCAACTAATCAAGTAATGCTTTATTGTGTTTGGATTTTGGGGAGCATGAATTTTGCAATGGACTGATGGTGGATAATGTAGTGATCAAACAACCTTCTTAGAATTTGTATGCAATCATCTTTATCTTGCTTTTTTTTTTTAATTCTCAAACAATTAACTTTTGCAATCAATATTTATGTTCTTCAATAAATGTTTTTTTGAATGCTATTGATGCGAAAATTTGTAATCTCATGCATATGTTGATAGAAATAGGACATAAGGGGCACCTTGATTAAGCAAGATAACGAATTCCTCATAATGGGAAATTTCTGACCACCTGTTAAAACTAAATTCTACAGAATGAAGAATCCGAAAACTTAAGTGAGCATGTCATTTCTTGCATTACTTATGTAATTGCTTTGCTTAATTGACTGGATGAAGGTGTCATAGGCTTAGATTTTAGAAAATAAGCTTGCTTAAGATTCCATGTTATTTGTATGGTTGGATTGATCAGGAACAAGATACTCAGTTACTCAGGTAAAGGCACTTCCTTACATCTGCATTTGTGAAGTGCCCAGTAGCCTCTATATGTATAAAAGTATGCGTAATTGTGATTAGGTAGTTACATACATGCAATTCGTGTGTATTAGGGTTAGCAAAGATAAACTTGTACAGATGGTGTATGCAAGCAGCTAACTTTGTTGCAACTCAGATGCTTTTTTTTCCTTCACCAACTAAAAATCTTGGATAAAAAATGAAAGTTGAAGTAATAATTGATAGTAGTCTATTGTGTGATCAGTTTATGTTTTTGCTATAAATTGGCTTTATTTGGAAGCCCACATCTTGTATGTTTAGGTCTACTTGTTTTCTGTATGTCTTAGGGCTCGTCAAGTATGACCCGTAGTGATAGTAGTAAGCGAAGCTCTTCTAGCGATCCCGAAGATGCAGAAGTAGTGTACCTGAAGGATAATGTGACGATTCATCCAACTCAATATGCCACAGAGAGGATCAGTGGGCGTTTGAGGTTGATTAAGCAGGGCTCTTCACTATTCATGGTAATGCCCTATTGTTGTGATTTGTGATGCATGTTCTGTTAGCTTGTTTATTATGGTAGTAAGATACACTTCTTTTTATCATAATAGACATGGATACCTTATAAAGGTCAAGGCTCAAATGCGAGGCTGTCTGAGAGAGGTTAGCCTCATCTTTTAATTCTTTGCAGTGTACGTATGTGTATAGTGAACTCTTATGCACCTCGTAGTCGTAGGATTTTCTGTCATTCTCTTGATAGTTGATAAGGTGATACATTTTGGTTCCGGACTTGCGTAAAAATTTATGCCATCAATATATTTCAAATTATGATCTTATGCATGTTGGTCATCTCTGCTTGAGTGCACAAGTATTCAGGTATGGCCATATGGCGGCATGAGTGAACATGATGGCATCTGATTTTGCTAGTATTACTGACAGCACGTGTCTTTGCACTGTCCACCTGGTGGCAGGACCAGCATTTTCAGGATGCTAAGCAATGATTTACAGTTTTATAAATTCTTTAGTATAGATGCTTTCCTCCTCGTACGTATATGCATAAGCATGTGATTAATATTGGAACTGTGGATGTAATTTTTACTGTTGCTTTATGCAGATAAAAATTTGTATACCATAAGAGCAGTACCATTTTCTGAGATTCAGTCAATTCGTCGGCATACTCCAACAATTGGGTGGCAGTACGTTATTGTTGTTTTATCATCTGGTAGGCTAATACATTCTTTTGCATTTTAAATGGATGTAGTGTATTTATCAAAAAACATCTCTCAAGTTTACCTGTGCCATATATCAAAATATACGTATGACTTTCTTGTTGTTTTTGGTTTCTAATTTGAATTCTATCATGTACAAAACAAAGTTCTCTAATTGATTGTTCATCTAAGTTTATGACTGTTCAAATTTGAACTTCATAGCCCACTCTTGCATTATTGTGTTATGTGCAGTGTGGATTTTGCAAGTCTTATGGCTGTACTTTTGAGAAAACTTTCTTATATTAGCTTTATTCATGTGAACTTCATCATGCCTGACTAGTGTTGTTTTTTTAGCAGATCATGCGTATGTTGGACCTAGCATATGTTTGTAATGGATTATTAGTTAGTTAGGCAACTGGCATGATCACCTTGAAACCCTTAAGATGCACCTGAAGCATTGTAGAGGGGGGATTAGCACGACTATTATTTTATTTCTTACATGGTTGTAGGATTTTCAGGAGTGTGAAGAGGCCAGCTCCCTTTAGAAGACAGTTGGGAGTTCAATTAATTTCCGAGTTGTATTTTTTCTGACCATCGTTTATTATGTAATGGTTTAATTTTATTTTGTAAGGTCTTGAAGTAATTTCTCCTAGATACTAAAAAAAGTTATGGTGCCCTCTTCTTCTCAAAACTGACATGCACTAATGTATAGGCGGTCAAAAGTGGGGCAGCCAATGTTAAATGTTGCTATTTTTGTTTCATGTATATGTTACTTGATGGTCTTTGGAAGTATTTCAGTGGCTTCAGTGGCTTCCTTGAGGATCTTCTTCAATTGCATTAACTTGCACTAATTTTTTCCCCACATGTTTTAAGAAAAGCTGGTGGACAACGTTCAATATTGACGTGATTTCCATTTTGAGCTACTCAGCCTGATCGGAACTTTGTGCAGGTCTAGCGTTCCCTCCGCTTTACTTCTATAGTGGAGGAGTACGAGAGTTTCTTGCAACAATTAAGCAACATGTACATATCGTCAGGTTAGTGTTTTGTCTTATCTATGCTATTCGCAAAGGCCAATGTGGTCTTGCTATCATAGGAGGTTGCTTTTCTCAAATATATCACATGGACACTTGCTATGGTAGAGGGAAACTTTATTAATCAGCAAATGCATACATGCACAATTAAACAACAATGCAACATGTATAAATGCATACATGTGGGCATTGGTGCTGTACATTTTACTCCCATCTAAGATCTTACAGTATGTTAATTTGGTTCCCTGTAAAATTTAATGAAAAATTGTTCTCTTACCATGTGTTGTTTTTAGGGTTTAGGGGAGTTGGTATTACATTGTCATAATTCTTTTAGCAATTACAGATTACGTCATAAATATCATCTATAGAAGAAGACCCTTGTACTTGCAATAAACAAGAGGCCTCTTATCCCGTACTAGTTGGGGTAGGCTAAAAGTGAAACTAGAAGAACAAATTAAAAACAGTTATAGTTGCATGAACTATATTTCTGGAGCCACTGAAAGATAGCTTAATAGTTTGTTTTCATTGGGGCAGACCTTCGCAGTTATTGTTTTGTAGGTTTATGGTATTATACAAGTATGATGTCAGTAAGAAGGCTACAGGACCAGGAATATTGCTGAAGCTTGTGCTACAAAGCTAGACCTCCGGTTTATATATCTTGATGCATGTTTGTTAGCAGCTTAATTAGCTTAATGGGACTCACTGCTTATTTGGTCAGCTATACGTAACTGTTTGGAAGTGGCTTAATGATATAAAAAGTGGCTTATTCAGTAAGCTTCTAGGGTGGAGCTTTATGCAGAAAGCCAAGTTTTTTCCAAACCTGCCCCTCCCAATGAAAAAAATGCTCCTTCCATCTTATGAAAAAACCTTCCAACCAAAAATCTTCCCAATCTATACAGACAAATTAATCCATACAGACAGCTTTATCCATACAGGACTTGATGAAAACCAACCAAACAGCCCCTTTTGTGAGTCCTTGTATTTGTGTAAGGTGTTCTGTTTGGCAATATACGAAAGAAAATACTGGCTTTTATTGGCTGTAGCAAGAGCTTGTTAATGTAGGTTCATACATGAATGAATTGAATAAACAAAGAGGTGTATGTTACATAGAATCAAGTGAACACCAATAAGCCAGGGTTTTAACAACAATAAAGTTGGTTTATTATGACGATTTATCAGTGATTAAACTGAAAAAATGACTCTTTATTACATATAAGCAAACAATTGAGCAGCAGGTGGCTTTGCTGTGAAGATGTCACTCTGTAAACAATGACTCAGTACGGCACAGCTAGACACAGTGTGACATTTGTTACCATGTTTGATGTCCTCTTTTAAGAGACCTCTCTGGCACTCCCTATTTAGGTCAGACTACAGCTATTAGCCCTTCCCAAATTCGTCTTAAAAAAATACCTTGCTGAATTCAAACCGTAGGAGCTATGCCTTTGATTTTTTGTATAATGCTTTCCATTGTGGAACTAATTGGTGACTATGCTGATAATATATCTAGTTTCTAGTCATCACGTTCCTTGCTGGTGTACTTGCAGTATATAAACTTTAATAAAAAGTGCTCAAGAGCATTTAGATATTTTTGTAGCCTTGGATTTTGCACTAGATTGCTACATTTTTTTTCTTGGAAAGAAAGTTCAAGTTGAAAGGACAATCTTCTCTCTTCTGTCAGCTGAAAAGATTCCTAAAATTTGAATTAGCCCCCATAGTTCACAATCTCTCTTTCAAGTTGTATATGGTATCTGTTTTCTTTTTCTTGTTTTGTCTATTGTTTTCTACCTGTATTACTTGCCTTTTCATTAAGATTTATGAAGGATATATTCGTGAAAATATTGTGGATATCCTTAAAAAAGACCGTCGATCCATAGCATATTATTGGGTCTTAAGCCTGTCAGATTGCTTCTAATTAGACCTCTGTTGTCACAGGTCGGCAGAAGATGCAAATGTGTTTCTTGTAAATAACTTTGAAGATCCTTTTCAGGTACAGTTTATTTTTGTGCTAATAACTGCTCGTTTTTTAGCCTCTGTTCATTTAGCTTGTTTGAAGTGGTTCCTAAATATGTTCTAAAGGAAACCGCAAATCTCTTATTCCATAGAAAATTCACAACAGTAGATGGGATTTTCTAGTTATTTTCTGTTTTTTACTGGGTTTTATAATCATTCAGTGACGATGAAATTTGTACTTTGGAGTTTTTCACTTGTAAGTTGCTCCTGAACTGCTGCTTCTCATTGTACGTTGTTTCAATATGTCTCATCAGAGAACTTTGTCTTCATTGGAGCTTCCGAGATCTCTTGCAAACGGAACACCTTCATCTTCCTTTACAGGTTCTCCCTCTGATGGTAATCAGGAGAGACAAGAGGATCATGTGAGTAGTGTACAGCAAAACAACAGGCAGAGGCAAAAAAACCATGATCCTGCTCGAGATCTTTCAATTCAAGTTTTAGAGAAATTCTCTCTTGTGACGAGGTTTGCTCGAGAGACGACTTCCCAACTCTTCCGTGAGAGCCTTGTTGATGGTCATGGTCCAACTGAGAAGAGGAAGAATAATTGGGCTTCCAAAGACCACCAGCATCAGGAAGCAGCCTTGAATGATGTGGAAAATGTTCCCACTAAAGTTCCAGTAGCCTCTGACCCTTTGGAGGTAAATCTACTTGAAAAGATAAAGCTGTAAAAAACTACTACTGTTATAGTATATTTTATGCATACCAGAAAAGTAGCATGTTGAAAACTTAGTTTTGAGGTGCAAAGCACCTAAGGAGCCTTTGGAGTGGTTACCATTTTGAAACAAGGGATTCTTTCACATCAGAGTTTATAACTGGCCATTTGCGGTTAATGCCCATCATTGACGTTTAGGGGCTTGAACAAGAAAATATTCTGTTCTACAAAGGCAAACTAACATTACCTGTCGCTAGCATTTTGACTATATCTTATCCATCAGGACCATCACCTATACCCCATTTTACACATCGCCCTTGTACAGCATATTCCCATTGAGATCTGCAGATTTACATGCAAATGAGGTCTCTAGATTAGTACCATCTGCAAGTAGGCATTATTGTTGGGAAGAATTCCTCCAGAATCACTTTTGTGCATGGGAATAAAAAACATGGTAGGATGGGTACATGGAAAAGATATTCGTCATTGTTTTTTTTTGGGGGGGGGGGGTCATTGCGTCATAGATTATTTGAGTGCAACGCTAAAAAATTGCTGAAATTTGTGTTCAATTTGTTTTGGAACTGAAAGAGGAATTACATATTGACAACCATGATATATGGTTCTGATTTCCTTTAGTCGATGTCGTGTAGCATTGCTATCTATCTTTTGTTTTTCATCTATTTAGTTTATGAAAATCATGTGTAACGTTGCAGGTGAAGATAAATTAATATTCAAAGTTGTACTTGAACTTGCACAAAATAGCATTTCACCATTTACTAAAACAAGTGTAATATGAATCGAGTCATTTCATGGCATCAGCCACACCTGGTAAGCAAAAACTGTTCTTGTCCTCTCACAGGACGTGTCTTCTACAGATACCCATTGCTCGTAGGTAGAACTCCAGGTAACAGGAATTCCCCATGTACAATCCTGCCTTAACCTCTTATGGAAATGCCCTAGTGTGCAGTGTCCCTGATCTGAGTACAAGATACCGATTCCTAGACCACTCTTGAGATTCCTGTTTAGGACATCTCAATAGCCAGGGAGCAGATGTGTGCTCCATACACTGGCATGCTTACCAAGTTTACAATTTTGAGGTGTAATTTAGGAAGTTGAGTGTATTGACTAGTCTCTTACATGTCTCTAGATCCTTCAGTGGTTTTTATTCGGAGTCTTATGTGTAGGCCACACTCTCATACAAGGTCTATACATACTCCTATGGCGAAGCAAGATTGATTTTGGAAATAGAATCACAATAAAATTATCTTGACGGCATAGTAATCATTGCAAATGCATTTTGGTGTGCTCAACCCTGTTCATTTAGTTAACATCACTACAGAACTTTTATATTTAAGAAACATGTAATATCATTTTGAAGTAGCACAGTTTGCATAAAGATACTTGAACACAAAAAAACAATTAATGTACTAATTGATCTTACTACTGCTTTTCTGCTCCTCTATCCGGTGTTCACCAATTGAACTTCGAATACTTGTCTCCCCTCTTCTGTTTTCCCTTCTTTCCTTCACTTATGCCTTCCCATGCAAGCAGTAGGTTGTTTTGAAAATGATCTGATGCTTCGAAAATTGATTTGGTATCGATATCTAGGATTTAGAAGCTGATGCTTCTTTAGCTAAGAAAATGCATGCTATGCAACCCTGCACAAAATAGGTGTGTCAACATGCACTTTTGCTTTCAGTTTGATTATTCTTTCATGATGATTTACCTAACTAGGGACATCAGTGCTATGGATCTTACGTAGCAATTCAGTCTTCTGATTTTATAGTTTCACTTGTCTGGTTAATTTTAGTATTTGATCATTGTTATACTATCATGACCGACTCCTTAGTTTGCTAAAATTTAGCACCTATGAACTTCATATGAGAATCCGTTATGATGTCCTTTTGATGAGTGCCCACAGATCAATTCGTCCCCTCTAGTATATTTGTTTAACCTTGTTCCTTTATTTGTGGCAGTTTGATAAATTAACACTTGTATGGGGGCAACCACGGCAGCATCCTTTGGGACCTGAAGAGGTACAGAACACTTCTTTGTATATGTGTTATCATTGTATGAGAAATTATCAAGTACTGTATCATGAGCGGATTTCTGCTTAACGGTTTCAATGTAACAATTCTCTCTGGATAAGATTAACTTGTCGTGCAGTAAAAGCTAATAACAAGTTCTTGGGGCCACTTTAGGGGTTATAAGACTTTTGATGTTAGACTTCCTCTGAGAAATACCCTGAAATGGTTTTAAATGTCTTTATTTTGTCACTTTGTTTGGTGTAAGAAGAAAATACTGCATTTCAAATTATTGTTCATATTGAAGAAGAGTGAGGGCGTTATGCAGCCCCAAACCTACAAGTGGGAAATAAAGAAAGTTAAGGAAATTAAGTTCCTTCCATTAGAAGTTGGGCCGATAATGTAGCAAATATTGGAAGAATTAACCTTCTTGGGCACATCTATGGGCAAAACATTCTCACAGTTCTTCAAGGAAGTACATCTCTATTATCATATATATACCCCTATATGTGGATGAAGGCTTGTATCTTGTTGTTTATGATCTCTCATAGTCTCATGGTACTGGGATGGTTTGCTTTATTGGTTTATTTTGCATGCAATGGATATTAACTTGTAGCCTGTATCCGATCTGTTTCCCTTCACCATAGCACAGGGTTCAAATCCATATGAAAGTGAAGTACATGTAGGTCACTGACTGCTAAGATATTTTTATACAGTGGTCAACCTTTTTGGATGCTGAAGGCCGAGTTGTGGATCCAAATGCTTTGAAGAAGAGAATATTCTATGGGGGAGTGGAGCACAACCTGCGAAAAGAGGTTTGTATTTTGTGGTACTATTGATTTACGTGTTTCTCCCTTCAGGTAGTTGAAATGAACTTTTAAATGATTCATGATTTCAGGTTTGGGCATTTTTATTGGGATATTATCCATACAATTCTACATTCGCAGAGAGGCAGTATGCTGTGTCGGTTAAGAAGTCAGAGTATGGAACCATCAAAAACCAATGGCAGGTCTGTGATTAATTTTTTAGCAGGGATGCTGTTGTAACATCCTACCTTACTTTCTGCTTTTCGTTTATTTTGAACATAGCTGTGAATATTTTTGGTATCATGGGGAGATGCCTAATCAGTTGGTATGGTACTGAATTTGACATCTATGCCTAGTTTGCAGCCTCCTGATAAGTTCTATTTTTTAAGGAACGAATCACATAGTTAAGACATTGGATCATGTTATAATGATCGAAATAGATAAATACAAATGCATAGCGTCTTGAATTACATCATTTGCAGAAACTATTATTTTGTCTTTCAACTATTATTGTCTTATGAAGAAATTCAGCATATTGTATTTGCCCCATTTTCCTCCTGCAGAGCATTTCCCCAGAACAGGCAAAAAGGTTTACAAAATTCAGAGAAAGGAAGGGTCTTATCGAGAAAGATGTGGTATGAATACGATCACTGAACAAACAGCTACTTCAAATTATGAACAATTCAGATTTTTTATATTGATAGTTACACATATTTTCTCTGTTTTCAAGGTAAGGACCGACAGATCACTGCCATTCTATGAGGGGGATGGCAATCCCAATGTACGCCTTATGCATGATATATTGTTGACTTACTCGTTCTACAACTTCGATCTTGGTTATTGTCAGGTAACACGATACAATCATCAGTTAATTGTGTTAAGGGCATGACTTACTTGGAGGGCTAATGTGTATTTCTGTTTCATGTGTGCAATGGCTTTAAACATCAGTCTTATCATTTTGATTTACGTTTTGAATTGTCATTCTACTGAGTTACTTAGTCGCGGGTCTTCATGGAAACAACTGCTCTACTCTTTGGGGTAGAGGTCAGATTTCCATGCATCTTATCCTCCCCAGACCTCACCTCAAGTGGAATATACCGAGTTCGTTTGGTTTGATTTGGTTGTTTTCTACTGAGCTACTTGACTCATGTTATTGGTTTGTTGGTTCCAATCTGAAGAACTTTCGCAAATGTTTTCCCTCTCTGCAGATGCACACATATACAATATTTTGCTAATAGATAAAATATATATCTTTCATAGGGCATGAGTGATCTCCTCTCCCCATTGTTATTCATCATGAGAGATGAATCAGAAGCATTTTGGTGTTTTGTTTCTCTAATGGAACGGCTAGGACCAAACTTCAACCGTGATCAGAATGGCATGCACGCTCAACTTTTTGCACTGTCAAAGGTCTTCTCTCTATCTCCCCCTATGGTTTACACGTGCACATGGTATAGCACATGCTTTGTTACATCGAACATGGAGAAACAGAACTTTGTGAAATCAGCGTATTATACATCATTAATTTTTATATGCAAACTAGTATGGAGCTAGCCTTTGGGAATTTTGGATTGATAAGCTAGTTGTTTATTGATAAGTTAGTTGTTGGCTGATAAGCTAACTAATAAACTAGTTATGTTTGGTAAAAATTAGATAAGTTAGATGACAACGTAAAATGATCTAAAATGACATGTTCAAAAATTAATTGGAAAAATATAAGAGGTATAATTGATTTTTTTTTGGAAAAATCCCATGGAGCTTATTGAAATGCTAATTGAAGAAGCATTTGAAAAGGCTACCTTATTTATGTGTACCAATGGGTTTTTCAATAAGCTCAAAAAATAAGCTAGTTTTATGGTCGCCAAACATGGCCAAAATATGTTCTTAGCGGCGGTTTCTAACATGTCTTTTACCTTCTGATATGGCAGCTGGTGGAACTACTAGACAGCCCATTACATAATTACTTCAAGCAGAATGATTGCTTGAATTATTTTTTCTGCTTCCGCTGGATTCTTATTCAATTCAAAAGGCAAGTCTATTCTTTATCCTTGTGCCATTTTCTTACTTCATATTTTCCGCATTTTAATTTTAATAAAACGAAGGTCTTCACTGCCTGTTGTGTGACAAGTATTGAACCTCTTATTGTGCATTCGACGAGATTTAAAATGGGCCCCACAAAATGGAGAGTGAAAATGGAGTTAAATATTGTGATAGTATGTGGAACCCCGAGATCACTCTCCAAAATAGCCCTCAAGGAGAAAGGGAGATTCCAACATATATTTTAGAGAAATGTTTCAAGTCTAGCCGATATGGGATCCCAACAAATATTATAAATGAGTAACATCTAAATAACTTTGTTGTATTTGAATTATGTCATGTTTACGCCAAACGAGCCTAATATATCCCACCTGGAGATGGGATCTAGGGTAAGATGAATACGGACTTGGCCTCTGCCCTAAAAGTAGAACGGCTTTTTCCCTGATTATGCTCGGTTAGTGAAAAGGGAGAAATACATATATGCAAAAATTTGGAACATAACGCTAAATACGATCGAATTCTAATATAGAAACATATTTCTTCTCTTCTTAATTACCGTTGAAAGGATAAGGAAAATGCTTATTTGATTTTGGACTGGACGGAATAGAAGATGATAACCTAAAATCTGAACTCAATTTATAGTCTGCAAAGATCCATGGTAATTAATATTCGCCATGTTTCTTCAGGGAGTTCGAATACGATAAAACACTGAGGTTATGGGAGGTTTTATGGACTCACTATCCCAGCGAGCATCTTCATCTTTACGTATGTATTGCTATCCTTAAAAGAAATAGGGTCAAAATAATGGGGGAGCAGATGGACTTTGACACCCTCTTGAAATTCATCAACGAATTAAGCGGTCAAATCGACCTCGATCCAGTTCTTCGTGACGCAGAGGCTCTGTGTGTGTGTGCGGGTGAGAACGGCGCTGCTTCAATTCCCCCAGGAACTCCACCTTCGTTGCCCATCCAGGATGGCTCCATATATCAACAGCAAGATGATGAGGTGTTGTAGAACATGATTCGAGTGAAACCAAGAACATGAAAGACGATCGGTAAGTACAGTATATTGATGTGTAATCATTTGTGTATCAGCATATGTTAATTCCAATGTTTGAATGAAGATTGTGTCGTCTTGCAATTTGCGATCATCTACCAACGATACGATACGATTAGAAACCGGCAAGTGATGGATATTTCTGGTACTTTTAGGGTGCGTTTAGTATGCGAAACAGTATGAGGCAGGACAATAAAAACTTCTTGTTCCATGTTTGGTACAGCAACTAGATTGGGACTGAACTGGATTGAGTGAGATAAGAATGTATTTTTTGTCCCACTAAAAAAAGAGCGTTTGAGAAGGGGATTAGACAAGCTTGCTAAATTATTGAACTATTCATGTAAAATTATAATTTCAAAACCTTTCATAATTCTTTCACCTGCCTATCTCGGTCGTTTTGTCCTGTCTCGTCTTATCCGTCCTTGTATGAGAGACGAGATAAAATATCAAAAGTTTGTTGTTCCACGTTTGACATGACAATTAGACTAACCTGGATAGGATTGGGCGGGACAAAAATGTATTTCTCAATCCTACCAAGATTGTAAAATCTCACATCAGTTGGGGAGAGAAACTAAGGTTGCCTTACAAGGGATTGAATACATCATCTACCCGATTAGTTTTAAAACCGTGAGTCATGATGTGTGGACAAAGCAAACAATAACTAGTACGTTCGGCCTAAGATGTAAAGAAAATAGGTAGGAAAAAAATCGGGAACATAAGAGACAAGTTTGGTAATTTTGAAACTACCTATGTCAAATTAAAGTCTTGAAAAAATTTCATAATTCTTTCACACGTCTATCTCACTCTCGTCCAGTCCATTTTAAGTATCAAAATTGATGATATACTTGGTTACATTTAGAGTTCAATAAAATCTTTTAAGTTAAAGCTTCTCATAGAACGGTTTGCATTTTACAAAAAACTAAAATGACGAGTCTCTATGAAAACAACTGTTCTATTTTTTACGGTGAAGATTAGATCAGATTTTACCATGAGGTGGGTTACAGTGGATTAGTTGGATTTACTTTGCAGTAAAATGGAGAAATAAAAAGTTGAAAAGTACAGGGGTTTGTTCCAAAGATTGGTGTTGACCTGAAAGAAACAGAGACTAAAAGAGGAGTGGAGTTGAGTTGAGTTGAAGTCCACACACAACCAGATCCATTTGTCCCCAAAGGTTTCCATGGGACAATTGATTGAATAGGAAAGGGTATCAGCTTTTGTTTGTGACCATCAATTGTCTGGGTATAGGGGCACATCTGTCATTTCATGGCAGTAAATCTCAGTGGAAAATTCAAAGCCATCTCAGTGGTAAAGATAGCCCAGGGGAGGTTGGTGTTAGAGAGTTATTACCAACACCTTTTGTGGCAATCACTCTCTTGGTTAGGTGCATTTATTTCAGGACTTTTTAATGACTCCTAACTAGTGATGGTCAAGAACCGGTACCGGATCGGACCGGGCCAGGCTAGGCCTAATCGGTTTTAAGCTTTTTTATAAGCGGGCATAACCGGTCTCGGTCGAAAATGGTAGGACCAATCAAGATATTTCATAATCGGTTATGAGTCGTCGGTCTCGGTCCTAACCGGTCCCGGCATTTAAAAATAAGATTTTTTTTTTAAATTTAATGATATATATTTTTAATACATTATAAAATTTACAATTGGGTCACTCAAATACACTTTAAAAATGTGTTTTAATATAATTAAAATTACATTATCTTATAAAAATATATTATAAAATTATTTGAAAATACATTTATCTATAAAACTATTTGAATTTTCGGGCCGGGCCGGTCCATAGCCGATCCCATAACCGGTCCTGGTCGATCCCAGTCCCACGAAACTACCAAAAACACCAACCGGTCCCGGTTTTCAGTCCCATAACCAGTCCCGGACCGGGTCGATTTGGCCATCACTACTCCCAACCAAAGAATTAATTACGTTTTTTGTCTTTGTGGTTTGTTGGAAATTGCAATTTTAGTCCCTAAGGTTTGTAATTTGTTATTGCTATGTTCTTCCTAATGATTTACAATTTATTGTTCTTTTGGTTCTTATAGTTTACAACTCTACTTTTTTGGTTCCTTTTTACTTAAAAGTAGGAATTGATCGAGGAAAGAAATAACAATAAACTATAAACCATAGGGACAAAAATGACAATTTCAAAACCACAAGGATAAAAATCAAAATTATTGACAAACCACGCAGACAAGAATCGTAATTTACTCAAAACGAAATAAAAATGAATGATGCTATATATATTATAATAATTATTAGAATGATACTATGTAATGCATCGAGACACATTTTCATTTCAATGTTTCGTGTTATTTTTTATTCATGTCGATATAATATGATATTATATGGTGTTTAAAAAGCGATAATATTTTGTTTTTGAATAAAATATAAATTTAAAAATGTCATATAAAATTTGCAAAAAACATATCAATATTAGTATCAAATTAACTATTTAAAAGTTCTTGTTTGTATATTTTTTAAATTCAAAAAATTTATTATAATTTAATTTAACTTGATTTAGGTTTAATAATATGTTTTTTTATAAAGATAATAATTAAGTATTCTGTTAGAACTCAATAATTATTCTAATTATATTTTTTATATTTTAAAATAAGATTTTATTTTCTATTTGATTATGTTTATCCGCAGTTAGTTACACGAATTCAAACATAGAACTTTAATAAATTATACTTACACACAATTTACTTGTAATCTTGAATTCTAAGTAATATGCATCAATAAACAGTACTTTATGCATAAAAAATGATTTTTAAGAGTTTTTGTCAAATGTTTTATAATATAACTAGAAGTGTACTCGCGCAATGCAGCGAGATACATCATGATTTTAATATTTCATTTTATTCTTTATCTCAGTCGATGTTATAATATGACTTTATGTGATTTTGAGAAATCGATGATGTTTTTATTTTTGAATAAAA